GCATAACCAATAAATCACAAATAGACATTCTTCTGGTATTCTTTGCTTTTGGCCGGGATCCAACTGACATTGGTAATGATAACCCTTGTGCCACAGCTTCTTCTAAACCCCACTTGAATGGTACATTGACAGAGAACTGCCAGAAGAAACTCAGATCCCCAAATATAAGCTGCCCAAAAGTCTATGCCCAGAACATTATAATCTAACCGCTAACAACAAAAGAATTAAAAGAATCTTGAAAGTATCTAGAGAAAAATTACGTGTTATTTATGGAGAAGAAAAGAGTCACTGAGTTACACAAATGGTTGAATTCTCAACTATTAACTGAGGAGTTAGCTGTGCTAACCCATTCAGATGCACCTTGGTAGAAGACCTGGTGAACTGCTTCTGGAAAGCCACAACCCTAAAAATCCCATGGGCGTCCTCCTCTGCAGGGCACAGTATCACCAGGAGTCAAGATAGACTCAGTGGTAGCCAGATTTTGGTTTATTTATAGAGAAGCACTTATTCAAGAGACTGTATATTTCTTACTAGAAAGAGTAGAGGCCAAAAGGAAGTGAATCAATATATTTTAAATGCTGAGGCAAACAATCCATAAGCCCATATTTTCAGGGGAAAGATCACTTTCAGGACTGCAGGTGAAATAAGGACATTTTCAGATAAAGGAAAAGTTAAGAGAATACATTGCCAGCAGACCTATTCTAAAAAAATTTCTAAATTCCTTCCAATATAACAGACATGATGAAAGAGGGAAATTTGCAACATAAGGAATTAAGGAAAGACAGAAGAAGTGGTAATTAGATGTAATAGATGGGTAGATGTAATAGATTGTTCTTCTCTTTTTGAACTCTTTATGTTTGAAGGTAGAAGACAAATTGTAACATTTCCAGGAGCTTGAAATGTATGTTGGTGTAATATACAAATACTACAGCATAAAGCACCTATATGGTGATAAGCTTACTACAGTTTACTTGAAAAGGTAAAATACTGATTTCAAGTAGATTTTGAAATTGTAAATATGAACATTGTAATCCTTAGAGCAAAATCTTTAAAAATTATACAAAGAAGTAAAGTAATATTTACAATATATTAATTAGAATGTTGTTATGTGTTGTTGTGTTGGATCTGACCAATCAGAGACATTCCAGCTTGTTTTCGGAGCCAATAAATCACACAGGAGGAGAAGCTGGTTGTTTTGATCCATGCACCTTTGGGATGGAAGCACAACTTCTTGCCACTAAGCTACTGAAGCCCAGAAAATATGTTCAAATAATCCAGGAGAATGCAGAAAAGGAGAAGCAAAGGAAGGAAAAACAGAACAAATAGAAAATCACAAGCAATAAAATGATGAAACTAAATTCAGGCATGTTGATATTTTCTGTCAAGTCAATTCTGATCAATAGTGAATAGTTCATTGGATTTTAGAGGCTGTAAATCTTTGTGTTGTTGTTATGTGCTGTTGAGTTGCCTGCAACTCATAGCAACCCTACGTACAACAACTCTGAAGTCTGTCCTGTTCTGAACCAGGCTCACTGACTTTGATACACATACCCCTATTGCCCTAGTTACTGTATCAATCCATCTCATCCAGGGTCTTCCTCTCCTTCACTGTCCCTCCACCCTTCCAAGTGTGATGTCTTTCTCTAAGGATTGCTCCCTCCTGGCCATGTGCCCAAAGTATGTGAGACAGAACTTCAAAATCCTAGCCTCC